CAAGAAACTACTAGTATGAAGGGATAGTGGCTCATGCCTGTAATCCTAGCTATTCAAGAGGCTGAGATCTGAGGAGCATGGTTCAAAGTCAGCCCAGGCAGTGAGCTCTTATCTCCAATTAACTATCAGAAAACCAGAAATGTAATAATCCTAGCAACTTGGAAGGCTGAGATCTGAGGCTACAGGTTCAAAGCCAGTCCAGGCAAAAAAGACCCCAGGAGACTCTTATCTCCATTTAATCCACTCAAAAACCAGAAGTGGAGCTGTGGCTCAAAGTGGTAGAGTACTAGACTTGAGCAGAAGAGCTCAGTGACAGTGCCCAGGCCTTGAGTTCAAGTCCCACAACTGACAAAAAAGAGAGAAAGAAAGGAAAAGAAAGAAAGAAAGAAAAAAAGGAAGGAAGGAAGGAAAGAAGAAAGGCAGGCAGGCAGGCAGGCAGGCGCTGGAAGTGGCGCTGTGGCTCAAAGTGGTAGAGCATTAGCCTTGAGCAGAAAAGCTCAGAAACAGTGTCCAGACACCAAGTTCAAGCCCCATCACTGAAAACAAATAAAAAAATAGTACAGTAACAGGAATGGCAACTAAGCTACTGACCAGAAGCAGCACCCAAAGGTAGGAGAGAAATGGCACCAACTGGTTAAAAGGTGAGACACATGAGAGCTGAAAGAGCACATCAGAATAAGCCCCAAATGGGGCTGAGTCACAAGGGTGGCAAAACTGGCAGGGGCAGCCAGCGGGAGGCAGGCAGGAACTGAACGCAGAGACACCCCTCCTAGAATCCCAGCATTTCCATAAAGGCTTTATAAAAGAGACCTTCCTACCGACGGAAGCACCTCCCAGCTCACCAGAGCACCAGGAAGTACTAGGTATCATGCTGTGCATTCCCAAGCCCCACTGTTCCAGAAACTCTGACCACTGAGTCCAGCAGAGCTCTTTACCAGGCCCCAATGTGTTAAAAACTTAAGGTAACACGGAGTACTCATGGCTTATGCTGGGCCACACAGAACTCAACAATCATCCAAAAAGACAGTCTTATGCGTGACAATAATACGTTACTTTAAGATTGAATAAAACCAAGGCTGTGTGAGGTCAGCTCACTGCAGGATGCTGTCCCCTTGGTGAGCAGCAGGGTGAGCCCCTCTGGTCAGAGAGGGTTGTCTGTGTACCTAATCACAAAGACTTTGAGCACCTAGTCTAAAAATTACCCAGTAAGACGTCACTGCTGAACCCAGGGCCCTCTTAGTGAAGGCTCAAGGGCGTCCCAAGATCAAAGTCTCCCTAGCCTCTAGCAAGGACAGAACTAACAAGTTCCTCCTCCAGAGGGTAATCTCTCCTGTTTTGCTGCAGGACAGAGGCTCCAGCAAGGCTCAACCTCAGATGAACAGGGCCAAAAGCCACTCCCAGGCCCAGCATATGGACTGGAGTTTGCCCAGTAGGAAGCACTGTGCCAACATTCCACAGCCAGGACCGAGAAGGAGGAAGCAGAGCTGACCCTACACAAACAACAGCTTCTACGTAGTACACAAAACCTGTGCTTCCCACAAAAACTGTGCTTCCCACAAAAAGATCCAAAGTGGAAGGCTGGAGGAGCTCGTTTCCTGCTTCCTCAAATGGAACAGCCAGCCAACACAGAAACAGGCGACTCCCTTACAGGCCTGCCTTCTGCTAGGTAGAAGTAAATTGAAATCAGCCTCAATCACTGTGAAGGAGTATCAGGTTCTAGGGTTCTGTTTGTCTTCTTTTTATGTTTATTTGCATGAAACTCATTGGGAATGTATAAAGCTACTTAACCATTGGTCTATGGAAAGAACTTTCTGTCAGAGGTAGACCTGGTTTCTGGCCCCAAATGACCAAACACATACACATACATCTCACAGACACAAAGAAGACAGACAGACAGACAGACACACACACACACACACACACAGTGCTGGGGCTAGAACTTAGGGCTTCTCCCACACTAGGCCATATCCTCAGCCCTGGTAACCTATCTTGTCAATTGGTAGTCCCCTATCATTCTTTTTAGCTTCCTCTTCTCTCAGTAGGAAAGCAGCCTCTCCTAATTACCTCACCCAAGGGTTATATACAATGCAACCAGGCAGGCAAAACCCTTCTGAGGTTTTAAGCAGGAGCTGCATCACCAGCACTGGCCACCATGCTCATAGTTTCTTTCCACCCACTCCAGCCCTGTCCAGGCCAGCAGCGGGCAGTTGAACAGTATCACTCAAGTTAAACAGTGGGATGTGTTGGTTCAGTAGGTTTTACAAGTGCCTTCAACAAAGATGATTCTGACAGAACCAAGAAGGGAAATAACTTCCCTTCCCAGCCAGCATGGCTTTCCATCTGCTTATTTTCCTGTATCACCTAGCAGCCTTGCTCCATACCCAGAGTGATTGGACCAACAATTCTAGAAACTATCCACATAGTAAAAGGAAAGGCTCCTGTCCCTTCCCAACTCTGAACTCTTTTTTTTTTTTTTTTGGGGGGGGGGGGCTGGTCATGGGTCTTAAACTGTGGGTCTAGGTGCTGTCCCTCAGCTCTTCAGCTCAAGGTTAGTGCTCTATCACTTGAGCCACAGTGCCACTTCCAGCCTTTTCTGTTTATGTGGTGGTGAGGAATCAAACCCAGGGCTTCATGCATGCGAGGCAAGCATTCTACCACTGAGCCAACTTCCCAGCCCTCCAACTCTGCATATTCTTAAAGCTCTTTCTAAACCCCCACATTGCGGATCAACACGGCACACAGTGCAGGAAGGCCTTGTGCCACCTCTGCTGGAAAACAGAATCATGGCCTCTGTTATGTGCCTAAATGCATCTTAAAAGCAATTGACCACCTAGAGTTAAGCCTGTCTGAAATACCAGGCAACCCAATCATAAACCATTGTCCGTGACAGGTTGTGTCCTGGCAGGGTTGGGCAGGAGAGGCTGGAGGGGCAAAGCAGGCAAACTACTCTGAAGGATCAGGCTGGGGGGAAGGACAAGGGCAGGGGCACTCAGGGTGCCCGCTGTAGAATGAGCTCGGTGATCTCCGCTCTGCTCCCCAGTCTCATGGGTATCCCATAGTAGGCCGTGCCCGGGCTGACATATACATATGTTTCCTGGGCCACTCGGTAGAGCCCAGCAAAGAAAGGGTTCAGGAGATACACTGCCACATTCAAAGGGAAAATCTGCCCAGCATGTGTGTGCCCGGAAAGGATCAGATTAATATCCGGACGTTCCTGAAGGGCTCTCTTGGCAGCCAGGGGTTGGTGAGCTAGCAAGATAGTGGTATGGTCTGGGCTACAGCCCCCCAAGGCTTTGGCAAGATCCATGCCATGACCAGAATAATGAAGAATGTCTGCTTCAATATCATCCACCCCTGCCAAGCAGACCCAGTCTTTTTCTTCCCCACCCTCGTGCTGGGTCTGGGTGGCAGAAATCTTCACGTTATCATTGTGAAGAGGCCGGACATGGAGGGATTCCAACAGTGCAAACCAGTTGCTGACATCTGACGTGTAGTATTCATGATTGCCTGTGACAAAGTAGGTGCCGAGTCGAGAACTAAGCTGGCCCAAAGGAGCGACAGCCGTGCGCAGGACGGAGGCTTCTGAATCAGACAGGTCACCCACAATCACGGTGATGTCTGGTCCCAGGGCATTCACCATCCTCACAAACATCTCCATCTTGGTCCTGCCCACTGTGGGCCCCAAATGAATGTCTGAAAGGAGCGCAATCTTGAGGTTGTTCATAGAAGAGGGCAGCTGATGAATGGGCACCTCCACAGTCTTCACAGCTGGGGGCTGCGCAGCATTCAGAAGCCCAACCACACTGAGCAGAGTGGTCACGAGGACTGCCAGCACAGGCCTGAGTACCAGCTTCCTCGTCTTGTCAAGGCTGCCCACAACCCTCCCACTTCGCCAGGCCAAGAGCTGGTAGGCCTGCTCCATGCCGCTGAGGATACAGAGGAAGAAGAGCATGATGATATAAGCGCCCAGGCAGGAGTAGGCTGCCAAGGAAAGGAGATAGGGCTCCTCGGCCACTAAGAAGACCATGGTGAAGAAACTGGAATGTGCCAGGGCCAGAAACAACATAACAACCAGCTTCCAAAGCTGAAAGCAGGTGGACTCCCCACTGGGGAAGGGGCAGAGGTTGCTCACTATGCTCCGCCATATGTAGAGGGAGCCAATAAGCATGAGTGAGTTGACAAAGAAGGCAAGCTGCAGGCGAAACAGCCACCGCCAGGCCCTGAGCTCAAGGCTCTCCGCCAGAAAGGAGCGGGAAAGGATCATGGAAACGAAGACAGTGACAGCAGCCAGGGCAGCCTTAGAGCCCAGGGACAGCTGCCTGAAGAGTGCCATGTTCTCTTGCTCCTGAAGCGTCCCCACCAGTTCTGTGCAGGTGGGCACTAGAAGGTGAATTCCTTAGAAAGGACAGTGGCCAAGAAGAGACTTCCAGGTCAGCTCCGCCTGCAACCAGGAACCGGCATCAGCTTTGTGGGATATTATAGAATCCTTGCCCCCATTCAAAACCCAAAGGCTGCTTACATCTGTCCAACCCACCCTGAATCTAAGTCACTCAAATATCAGTAAGTGGCTACACTTGACTATTAAAATATAGTGTTGAAGTGATGAGCAGATAGGCAGTGTGTTTCCATTTTGGTTTTTTATTAAGTGTGCATGCCAGTCTTGGGGCTTGAACTCAGAGCCTGAATCCTGTCCCTGAGCTGTTTTGCTCAAGGCCAGCACTCTAGCATTTGAATTATAGGCATAAACCACGGGCACCCTGATAACTAACAGTGTTCTGTATAAAATTTTTCCAAAGGGGCTGGGAAGGTGGCTCAGTGGTAGAGTGCTTGCCTTGCATGCCTGAGGCCCTGGGTTCAATTCCTCAGCACCACATAAACAGAAAAAGCTGGAAGGGGAGCTGACATTCAACTGGTAGAGTGCTAGCCTTCAGCTGAAAAGCTGAGAGACAGTGCCCAGGCCCAGAATTCAGGCCCCACGACCAAGAAAAAAAAAAAAAGGCAAAATGTCTGGAAGGCTATGGTGCAAGGCCATTTTTGCTGGCTATAAGCTGGGTCTCTGGAACCAAAGGGAGCACACGGCTCTCCTTAAAATTGAAGGCATTTATGCCCGAGGTGAAACAACACAGTTAGGCGGTAAGCCTAACAAAACCAGAGTAATCTGGGGAAAGGTAATGTGTGCCCATGAAAACAGTGGCATGGTTCATGCCAAATTCCGAAGCAACCTTGCTGCTAAGGCCATTGGACACAGAATCCATGTGATGCTGTACCCCTCCAGAATTTAAACTAATGAAAATTAAAGTAAATCTATGCCCTTGTAAAAAAAAAAAATCCAAAATGAGTATGAACTGTTTTTTGTTTAAACAAGAAAATCAGCCAGGCACTGGTGGCTCATGCCTGTAATCCTAGATACTTAGGAGGCTGAGATCTGAGGATTGCAGTTCAAAGTCCACCTGGGCAAGAAAGTCTGTAAGATTCTTATCTCCAATTAACCACCAGAAAACCAGAAGTGGTAGAGTGCTAGCCCAAAACACAAAAGCTTAGGGACAGCATGTAGGCCCTGAGTTCAAGCCCCACAGCTGACCAAAAAAAAAAAAAGAAAAAGAAAGAGAGAGAGAGAGGGAAAAACATTACATTAGTGCCTCCAATTTAGTCAAGACTTTTTTCATAGTAACCCTAAGCCATCACTGTTTCCATTCCCTCTCCCCATGAGTGTACAATGGAGTTTACCGGACATGTGATCTGGCAACAGACCATATGCAAGAATGTAAACAAATGAACTCCTCCCTCAAATTATGCCATAGATACTCTTATTTCCCTTGAGATATATTGTTTATATTAACATTTGAGAGATTGTTTTTCTTTTTAAAGAATCACATATTAAATTTTCACCTAGGATAGTTGATGTTGTAAATAAACCCAAACAAGGCAATGATGGAAAGCCAGCCTGGAAACTTCCTTCCACTCTAGATCCAGGAGTCTAGTAGGGACACCTAGACACTTAAGTATTCCTGGGTTGATGCCAGCTTCCCCGTGTGGACAACCTAATGATGTCGGCATGGTGACCTAGACTCTGAAGGCTACTCAGTCCACCATTTCCTCCTTCCCTTCCACCCTGATAATGGTTAAGATTTGCTGTCTCCCCTTCTGCCTGAGTCTGTTTCCCTGAACTCTACCCCAATTCCACCTTCACCACTGGTTCTCACAACTCACTAGCTCAGATCCAAGAGCTGCTCCAGGTCTACAAGGAAGAAAACCTAGTCTACAAAAGAAGGCAGGAGAGGGAGTAGCAATTTGAGAGGGTGTCTTCCCAATGTAAAAGCATTCTCAGCAGCTGCGTTCCAAACGCTTAAAATTTTCAGGGACGGGTGCTGGTGATTCATGCCTGTCATCCTACTCAGGAGGCTGAGATTCTGAGAATCACAGTTCAAAGCTAGACTGGGCAGGAAAAGTCCGTGAGACTCTTTATCGTCAACAAACTACTCAGAATACCTGAAGTGGTGCTGTGGCTCAAGTGGTAGATCTCTAGCCTTGAGCAGAGTCTCAAGGACAGAGCCCAAGCCCTGAGTTCAAGCCTCAGGACCAGCAAAAAAAGAAAAAGGAAAAGAAAAAAAGAAAGAAAGAGAATCTCCCCATTTTCTACCTTGGTTTTCAAGTTTCTGAATTTTCTCTGTTCCAAACCCACATATGCATAGCATTTTATCAAATGCTATGTAACTTACCCGTCAACGGGCTCAAATTTCACTAACCTGTACTTAAAACATGCCTTTGACCCCAGGAGATACCCAAGTTTAAGCGCCTCACACGTGCAGCTGGGCGCCTGCCCCTCCTTCCCGCAGAGGCCAGGCCGGCCTCCCAGAGGCGTCCCCGGGCCTCACCTACTTGCTCCTGTGCGTGGCTGGAGGCTCCCTGCAACTGACCTGGTCCCCCATTCCACCCGCACCGCCAGACCCCAAAGGAAAAGCGTCCCCACCGACGCGACGGGACACCCAAGCCCAAAAGCAGGCGGCGGGGACTGGCGAGAAGCCGACCAGATGCGTGAACAGGGAGATTACCCAGCAGGAAAAACTCCCTCCACCCCCCTCCCGCAAAGGGGGGCCTTTCCTGACCCCACTTTTCTCCTTCCAGAGCGTTCTGCAGAGCACCGGCTGGAGAGGGGTGGGAGCCCGCATCCGAGGCCGCGCGAGGGCGAAGTCCCTCCGGTGGCCTCCCGCTTGCTTAAATGGGGAAGCAGGTCCACGCGAAAGGGGCGAGCAGAGCGGAACACAAGCGACCCAGCCTGCCGGGAAGGACCCGCGTCCGTTCCGCCCTCCCGCCCGCCCCTGGCAGCGGGCCGGTCCACTGCCTGCGCCCCGTTGGCCGCCTGCCCGGCCGGCGCCAACACGTTCGGGGATCCCCGGATCCCCACCCTGCGGGATGGCGAGCGGCCGCGGCCTCGTCCCCTTCCCAGCCATCCTGCCCTTCCCGGTGCGTCCCCGCGCGGGGATGCCGCAGACTTACCCAGGGTGCAGAGTCCAGCAGCAGCGGAGCCAGCAGCAAAGAGAGTGCGGGAACCAGGATCGCCGGCATGACCGCCCGTGCGCCCGGCCTCCGCTGCGCTCCGCTCCGCAGTGGCGCCGGGGCCAGCCGCTCGGCCTCCCCCGGCCGAGGACCCGCCGCCTGGGCCCGCCCCGCGCAGTCCCCGCCCCGATCCCTCCCCCGCCGCTCCAAGGAGGCAAGGAGGGGGGTTGCGGGCGGGGTAGAAGGGGGAAGCGGGCCCTGCCCGGCAAACCGCGTGATTCAATGTATAGGCTTAGGCTTTGACCCGAGAAGACCCTTTGGAATGGCGACCCAGAGGCCCTGCTGTCAGCAGCGTGATAACACGCACATTCACAGGCATCTCCTTGCTCCTCGGCGAGGAGGGGAAGGGAGGAGATTGATAACAACTAAACCTAAATGCGCTACATAGAATCTTAGCCTCATAAAACCCTACACCGGGGACTGCAGGTGTGGTCCATAGTCCATCTAACTGAAGAGTACCAGGAATTTAGAAATGCTGAATCATAGAAAATAGGGAAGAGGCCTAACTTTGGTTATCTTATTTTACAAACTCTCCAGGTTATTACAATGCATGATAAAGTTTGAGAACCTCTGTTCTGGTTACTGAGGTATGTTAAATGTGACTGAATTGTGGCAGAGTTATTCCAAATGCCAGCCAGCACCCAAAGAAAGCACCAGGCCTAGAGAAGTTTTATTTCATCACAAGGTGTTGAAGAATGGCAGGTACATTTGATCCTCTCAGCATTTTTATGTTTGCAGGAAGATCTGCGAAATGGCCATAGAATAGTTTTTTTTTTTTTTTTTTTGGGGGGGGGGGTTTGTTTTAGTTTCTTAGTGGTTGGTTGTGTGTGTGTGTGTATGTGTATGTGTATGTGTGTGTATGTCCAGGGCTGAGAACTGTACTCTTTTTTGTCGGTCATGGGGCCTAAACTCTGGGCCTGGGTGCTGTCCCTCAGTTCTTCAGCTTAAGGCTAGCTCTCTAGCACTTGAGTTACAACACCACTTCCAGCTTTTTCTGCTTATGTGGTGCTGAGGAATGGAACCCAGGGCCTCATGCATGCAAGACAAGCACTCTACCGCTGAGCCACCTTCCCAGCCCAGAAAGGCTGGGTATTCTTGCTTACCTATTTCACTCAAAGCTAGTGCTCTACCACTGAGCTACTACTCTACTTCTGAAGTTTTTTGGTGGTTAACTAGAAAGTGTTATGGAAATCCAGGTGTCAGGGCTCATGCCTATAATCCTAGCTACTCAGGAGGCTAAGATCTGAGGATCATGGTTATTTCTAATAAACTACTCAGAAAAAGCTGAAAATGGTGCTGTGGTTCCAGTGGTAAAGAGTTAGTCTTGAGGGGCTGGGAAGGTGGCTCAGTGGTAGAGCACTTGCCTTGCATGCCTGAGGCCCTGGGTTCGATTCCTCAGCACCACATAAGCAAAAAGAAAAAAGCTGGAAGTGGTGCTGTGGCTCAAGTGGTAGAGCGCTAGCCTTGAGTTGAAGAGCTGAGGGACAGGGCCCAAGCCCAGAGTTCAGGACCCCCCCCCCCAAAAAAAAGAGTTAGTCTTGAGCAGAGGAAGCTCAGGGACAGTGCCCAGGTAGAGTTCAAGCCCCAGGACTGGCAAAGTCTAAAAGAATCTCATGGACTTCCCTGCCCAGGCTAGCTTTCAACCAGGTAGCTAGGATTACATTTGAGCCACCAGTGCCTGGATTTAGTTGAGTTAGTTGGTTAGTTTGAGCCTGGGTCCAGGCTGGCCTGGGACTTGCTCTATAGTTCAGGCTGGCCTCCATTCCAGTATCCCCCTTCATTAGCCTCTGCAATGCTAGGTTTACTAGCATGCATGCACTTTTCCTTTGCTCAGCTGTGGAAAAAGAAAGGCAATATTGTTGTGTGAAATGACTTTTCCCAGACCTCCAATAAACACTAGATCTACTTTAAAGTTAATAACATTTTTCTATCTGGTTCCTTGATTGCCTGAAAATCCAACGGTCATCTCACAGAATGTTTTAGCTTTGATAAATACTGAGTGTAAGGAATGTCTAGATTGCTTTTCATTTTTTTTATTTTTTGCCAGTCCTGTGGCTTGAACTCAGGGCCTAGGCACTGTCCCTGAGCCTCGCTGTGCTCAGGTTATCACTCTACCACTTGAGCCACAGTTCCACTTCTGGTTTTCTGGTGGTTTACTGGAGATAAGAATCTCAATCTCCTGCCTGGGCTGGCATTGAACCCAGGTCCTCAGATCTCAGCCTCCTGAATAGATAGGATTACAGGCATGAGCCACCAGCACCCAGCAGTCCCAGTCCTTTTAAAATGTTTCATGCTTAAATTTTCCCAGCTATATTGAGTCATAATTAACATACCATAATCACAGTCATTTAAGATATTGTCTAACTTTTAGCCGGGCGCTGGTGGCTCACGCCTGTAATCCTAGCTACTCAGGAGGCTGAGATCTGAGGATTGTGGTTCAAAGCCAGCCCCGGCAGGAGAGACCCTGAGACTCCTATCTCCAATAAACCACCAGAAAACCGGAAGTGGCGCTGTAGCTCAAGTGGTAGAGTGCTAGCCTTGAGCTGAAGAGCTGAGGGACAGCGCCCAGGCCCAGAGTTCAAGCCCCACGACCGACAAAAAAAAAAAAAAAGATATTGTCTAACTTTTATTTTGTTTTTTGGTGCCAGTCCTGGGACTTGGTGCCTGGGCCTGGGCACTTTCCCTGAGCTTCTTTTGCTCAAGACTAGCACTCTACTACTTGAGTCAAAGCACTACTTTTGGCTTTTTCTGTTTATGTGGTACTGAGGAATTGAACCCAGGGCTTCATGCATGCTACACAAGCACTCTACCACTAAGCCACATTCCCAGCCCTTTTATTTTGTTATTCTTTGAAAAATAAATGGGAGCCAGATGCCAGTGTCCTAAACCTGTAGTCCTACCTGAGAGACAGCACCCAGGCCCTGAGTTCAAGCCCCAATATCAAAAAGATAAAGAAAGAAAGAAAAGAAAGAAAAAAAAGAAGTCTTTTTAGGGGGAAGGTCTTTATCAGTAGCTTAGTTTACCTTCCCCCCTTTTTTTTTCAGACATGGGGTTTGAACTCAGGCCCTGGGTGCTGTCCTGAGTTATTTTGCTCAAGGCTAGCTTTATACCACTTTGAGCCTTAGCTCTACTTCTAACTTTCTGGTGGGTATTTAGAGATAAGAGCCTTATGGATTTTCCAGCCCTGGGTTGGCTTTGAACTGCCATCCTCAGATCTCAGCCTCCTGAATAACTAGGATTACAGGTATGAGCCACCAGTGCCCAGCCTAATTAGACTTTACTTGATTTTTTTTTCAAGTTATCTAAGAGAATTTTCTTTTCCTTTTTAAACAAAAGTGTATTATCTTTGCATCTGACTCAACCAGTTCAGAAAAAATATGAAGAGAAAAAAATGGAATTCTAGAGTTGGTATTCCAGGAATAAAAAAAAAAAACCTGGGAAAATACAACAAATGTGGGAAAAGTGTTACTGTTTGGGAAATCAATGAAGTAGTTCTTTGAACTGTTTTTTCAACTATTAAGTTTTTTGAGCCACAGTTCCACTTCCAGTTTCTGAGTGATTAATTGGAGATAAGGGTCTCATGGGGACTTTCTGCCCAGGCTGGTTTTGAACTGCAACCTTCAGATCTCAGCCTCCTGAGCCACGGTTTTTTTTGTTGTTTATTTTTTATTTTTTTACTTTTTTTTTTTTTTTTTTGTCAGTTGTGGGGCCTGAACTTTGGGCCTGGGCGCTGACCCTCAGCTCTTCAGCTCAAGGCTAGCACTCTACCACTTGAGCCACAGCACCACTTCCAGCTTTTTTCTGCTTATGTGGTGCTGAGGAATCGAACCCAGGGCCTCATACATACAAGGCAAGCATTCTATCACTGAGCTACCTTCCCAGCCCCCCCCTTTTTTAAATCTTTGTGTATGTGTGGGTGGGTGCAGACCAGTTTTGAGGCTTAAACTCAGACCCTCACAGTCTTGCTCACTTTTTTTGCCCATAGCTGGTACTCTACCACAGTTTTGTTTTTGTTTTTTTGAAAATTGAAGATAAAGTCTTTTGGATTTGTCTGCCAAGACTATCTACAAATCATGATCTACAGATCTTAGCCTCCTAAATAGCTAGGAATACAGGCATAAGCTAGTGGTATTTTGGCCTTGCTTTCATTTTTTTTTAGTAATCAATTTTATATATTTAGAGAAAGATGAGTACCTTATAGATAGAAAAGAGCACTATTAACAGAAGACACAACCCTGAGCCTTCACCAAAGGTTGCTGGTATAACATAGACACCTTAAGAATAGAGCGATAGCAATGAGAACTAGAAATGTGCTGCCCCCAAACACAGATAAAAACTGTTTTTCATCTGGTACCAGTGGCTCATCTGTAATCCCAGATAATCAGGAGGCTGAGATCCAAGGATCGAGCTTTAAAATCAGCCCTGGAAGAAAAATCTACAAGACTCTTATCTCCAGTAACCACCAGAAAACCAGAAGTGGCACTGTGGTTTAAAGTGGTAGAGTGCTAGCCTTGAGAGAAAAAGCTCAGAGACAGTGCACAGGCCCTGAGTTCAAGCCCCAGGACTGACAGAAACAAAAACAAAAAACAAAACTTTTTCTGCCTAGTGGAGCTCCACATGCAAGCCCAACCTCAATCTGTTTTCCTGATGGCTTCAACAGACCCTTCTTCCTGCCCTCAAATTTCAGCTCACAATTTCAGTTTCTGACCAGTGTAAACTTAGCTGATTATACTGCTAGTATTTTTTAATGCTATTCAAATGTTTGCAATGTACGTTTTAGGAATAGTTAAATGAAATATGTTCACAACAAGGGGGGATAAAAAAGGTACCTCCTACATATATGACAACTAAAATGTGCTATGTGATGTTAGACTGAATCTTGGACCAGAAAAATAAGTGATAATAGCCTGGCCCAGGTCGTTCAGGTCTGTTATTGAATTGAATAATAAAAGAAGAATGTGAAAAGAAGTGAAAAATGAGATGTTCAGTTAAAACATATTCTGCTGAGCAGCAATCTCTTATCTTCCTACTTAGAAACTGCTGAACCATATATCTTGGGCTAAGTTGTGCAAAGGATATGTTTGGTTATGAAATAATGAAAAGATAAAATTGTGACATAATCAGCCAAGGGTTCCCCCACAGATCTCAGTAAGTTAGTGGGTGGGTGTCAGGAACTGGACCATGCATGGCAATCATGGGTTTGGCCACATTTGTTCTTTCAGAAGTTTGAGATACTTGGGAATAGCAGATGCCCCAAGTGAGACCTGTCTCACAGGGAACTAAGATGATTTTGTTTCAAATATGTGTCTTTCCTAACTTCTTCTATAGTTTTCGTTCAAGGGTTCTGCTTCCTGCACCTATGCAGGGTTTCTCTGCTTTGCTGTTGTTTTGTGTTTGGTGTGTCCCCAAAGCCTACCTCTACTACCCCTAGATTTATCCCACCGTCTCTCTGGATTTTTTTTTTGGGGGGGGAGCAGGGTTGGTGCTGGTACTGAGGCTTTTTTTTGGGGGGGGGCGTTCCAGTCGTGGGGCCTGAACTCTGGGCCTGGGCGCTGTCCCTCAGCTCTTCAGCTCAAGGCTAGCGCTCTACCACTTGAGCTACAGTGCCACTTCCGGCTTTTTTCTTGTGCTGAGAAATCGAACCCAGGGCCTCGAGCATGCAAGGCAAGTGCTCTACCACTGAGCCACCTTCCCAGCCCCTGGTACTGAGGCTTGAACTTAGAGTCTCATATTCTTGCTTGGTATTTTTCAAGGCTGGCATTCTACTACTTGAGTCATACCTCCACTTCATCTTTTTGCTGGTTAATTGGAGATAGATGTCTCAGACTTTCCTACACAGGCTGGCTTCAAAATGAAATACTCAGATTTCAATACTTTGTAGCTAGGATTATAGGTGTGAGCCATGAGTGCCTAGCAACCACAGTCTCTTGTTTTAATAACTATACCTGCAGTTGCTGATCTCTAAGTGATTATAGTAGCTTTGTGGTTACATCAACGATCCCAGTTAGATGTGACCCAAATAACTACATGATTTGACCCTCAACATATTGGTGAGTAACTTCATTAAAGTACTATATTCATCAACAATTAGTTAGGGCAATATACATAGTCTGGATTTCTAGTTTCTCCTCTTAGATCCTCCTGGTTATAAAAGGTCCACAGTCCCATGAGGTAAGAGTAGACAGGAAATTTGCCCTGGGACACTTAAGGCTGAATAGTTCCTTCAAGTTGGGATGTTTGTTCTCCATCTGGTTCACTTCACGTGTTTTTAAATTTTTTTTATTGTTATTATAAAAGTGCTATACAGCCGGGCGCTGGTGGCTCACACCTGTAATCCTAGCTACTCAGGAGGCTGAGATCTGAGGATCGCGGTTCAAAGCCAGCCCGGGCAGGAGAGACCGTGAGACTCCTATCTCCAATAAACCACCAGAAAACCGGAAGTGGCGCTGTAGCTCAAGTGGTAGAGCACTCGCCTTGAGCTGAAGAGCTGAGGGACAGCGCCCAGGCCCAGAGTTCAAGCCCCACGACCGACAAAAAAAAAAAAAAAAAGTGCTATACAGAGGGGTTACCAGTTCATAAGTCAGGTAATAAGTAAATTTCTTATTTATTTATTTACTTTTTGGTCGGTCTGGGGGGCTAGAACTCTGAGCCTGGGTGCTGTCCCTCAGCTCAAGGCTAGTGCTTGAGCCACAGCAACACTTCCGGCTTGTTCTATTTATATGGTGCTGAGGAATTGAACCCAGGGCCTCATGCATGTGAGGCAAGCACTGTACCACTGAGCCACCTTCTCAGCCTATAAGTACATTTCTTTTTGGACAATGTCACCCCTTCCTTCATTCTCTCCCAGTTTTTCCTCCCATCCCCATCCAATTTGTAAAGTTCATTTTTTAAATTTTCATTTTGTTGGTCATGGGGCTTGAACTCTGAACCTGGGCAATGTCCCTGAGCTCTTCAGCTCAAGGTGAGGGCTCTACCGCTTGATCCACAGCACCACTTCTGGTTTTCTGGTGGTTTATTGGAGATAAGAGTCTCATGGACTTTCCTGCCTGGGGTTGGCTTTGAATCTCCTGAATAGCTAGGATTACAGGCTTGTGCCACCAGTGCCCAGCTGTATAGTTCATTTTCAACATAGTTTCTACTGAGTACCTCTGATGCATTTGTTCACCATTTTCCTCCATTTCTGTGCCCTCTTTATTCCATCAAAGACAGATCAATGAACAAACAAGACAAAAGAAAAGAAAAAAAAACTCCATTTCCTGGATTTCATTTTTTTTTTTTTGTTGGTCATGGGGCTTGAACTCTGGGCCTGGGCGCTGTCCCTCAGCTCTTCAGCTTAAGGGGAGCGCTCTACCACTTGAGCTATAGCGCCACTTCTGGTTTTCTGGTGGTTTATTGGAGATAGGAGTCTCATGGTCTCTCCTGCCCAGGCTGGCTTTGAACCGCGATCCTCAGATCTCAGCCTCCTGAGTAGCTAGGATTACAGGCGTGAGCCACCAGCGCCCAGCTCCTGGAGTTCATTTTGATAAATATTATTTTACATGATCAAAGGCACTGAGCCTTTGTGTTCCTCCCCTAAAAGTGTCCTCCTTTGGTTTTACTATGTGTGACAGCCTAGAGTCCTGTATATTTTAGATATGCTTCTACATATGAGAGAGAATTTGTGTCGTTTGTCACTGTGGACTTGGCTTACCTCACTTAATGTGATTTGTTCTAGGTCCATCCATTTCCCTGATGACATTGTATTCTTTTCTAATTCCACTTCACTTTTTATTTTTGGCCAGTCCTAGGGATTGAACTCTGGGTGTGGGCACTGTCCCTGAGCTTCTTTTGCTGAAGGCTAGCACTCTACCACTTGAGCCACAGCACTGCTCCTGGCCTTTTCTGTTTATGTGATTCTGAGGGCTTCATGCATGATAGGCAAGCACTCTAGCACTAAGCCACATGCCCAGCCCCGCTTCACTTTTAATATGAACTCTAGCAGGCTCCAAAATGGACTTACATTAACAACTTCTAGGGCAGTGAGTCTCAATAGTAATGATGACGGCTGAGTCAGACTTTTTTTTTTTGGTCGGTCGTGGGGCTTGAACTCTGGGCCTGGGCGCTGTCCCTCAGCTCTTCAGCTCAAGGTTAGGCACTATCACTTGAGCTACAGCGCCACTTCTGGTTTTCTGGTGGTTTACTGGAGATAAGAGTTTCATGGACTTTCCTGCCCAGGCTGGCTTTGAACCGCGGTCCTCAGATCTCAGCCTCCTGAGTAGCTAGGATTACAGGTGTGAGCCACTGGCGCCGGGCCCTGAGTCAGACTTTTGCAGCCGTTTGTCTCCTGAATCCTTGGCTCCCTGCTCCACCACAGCTGCTGCTGAGGCATCTGCCATCTAAAGCTAACTGTCTGGGGTCTCTGGCTCCTCCAGACACTTCTGAGGAACTATTTGATGAGCTATGTGCATGTTTTTTCTGGATAACCTGGTCAGTCATTTGATCTGTCCCAGTGGCCATCCAAGACAGGTTGTCTTTAAACCAGTGGTCTGCCTATGACATCCCATTCCATAGCTTCTCCTCCCTGGCCTCCTTTCTCCTTCTCCTGTCATGGACTAGAAATCCCAAGTGAAGGACTTGACATTTTATTCCTGTCAGGTGCTGGTTTCTAGAGGGCTCCAGATGAGATCATTTCTTATCAACATAATGAAATTGAACTTTCTGATTAGTGAATCTCCTTTCTGTTCCCTATAAGATCATGACAACAAAAATTTAGTGGCCTGTGCTTATTGCCTCTTTTTGTCCTTGCATTTAACAGGCACCTTACTTTTTTTTTTTTTTTTTAAAGCCTCACACCCCCATTTCCTTGTCAGGCAGGTTTTGTCCTAATAGCTTATCCTGTCGATCTGTAAGTTGTGTAGACTGGAATTCTGACTGCAAGGCTTTTTGACTGACTCCTTCCTATCAGCAAGACCAGAAGCTATTTGTGAAACTTAAAGGGCAAATAGGAGTTTTGTGTTCTATTACTACTTTATTGTAAATAATCTCAAAGTAAGTTCAAAGAGTTTACTTCTGTGTGTGTGTTGTGTGTGCGTGTGCGCAGGTGCCGGGGCTTGAACTCGGGGCCTGGGTGCTGTCCTTCTCTTTTCCACTCAAGGCTGGCGCTCTACCATTGAGCCACAGCCCCACTTCTGGCTTTTTGGTGGTTAACTGGAGATAAGAGCCTCATAGACTTTGCTGCCGGGGCTGGCTTCCGACCACGATCGAAAAGTTTCCACCATCTGAGTAGCTATGATTGCAGAAGTGTGCTCCCAGATTAAAGCGCTACTTTTTATTTGTATCTCTCAACGCCCATGCTACAAGTTTTCCGTTTCTTCAGCCTGACTAGCTAGTGTTCATAACGTTTCTCGATGTTACTTACTCAGAATCATTCTCTCTCAGTAAAACCTACAGACCCATGGCAGCGCTATTCAATGCATAGTTCCCAGCCTCCACCCTCTCTACAGGGGGGCTTGTTAGATAAATTCTCGGACCCCCATCCTAGACCTGAGCCAGAAATTTGGGCGGGGGAGGCTTTCCAGAAACCTGCGGATTCACAGGTCGGCCTAAGTGATGGTAAAATTTAACCTAAGACCCACTGGGCCCGCATGTGGTTTGCAGCCCACCTCGAAGCAAAGCAATCGCCGACACCTCGCTGGCACCGGGTAGGGACCAGCGGGCCGGGCGCACAGCCGGGATCCCCCAGCTAGGCGGGCAGAGGCGGCCGGACAGGGCGGGCCCGAGCTCGCGTCCCCGCCTCCCAAACTTCGGGCCTGCCGCGTCGCGCGGTCCCGCTCCTTCCTTTCCCTCGCTTCCTCCCTTCCTCCTTCCTTCCGCCCGGCGCGATGGAGCCAGGGTCCCGGGCGGCTGCAGCGCTGCTGGCGCTGCTGTGTGCGGGCTGCGCGCTGCGCCCCGCGCGCGCCCAGTACGAGCGCTACAGCTTCCGCAGCTTCCCCCGGGACGAGCTGATGCCGCTCGAGTCGGCCTACCGGCACGCGCTAGACCAGTACGGCGGCGAGCACTGGGCCGAGAGCGTGGGCTACCTGGAGATCAGCCTGCGGCTGCACCGCCTGCTGCGCGACAGCGAGGCCTTCTGCCACCGCAACTGCAGCTCGGCTCCCCAGCCCGAGCCGGCCGCGGGCCTCGCCCGCTACCCGGAGCTGCGCCTCTTCGGGGGCCTGCTGCGCCGCGCGCACTGCCTCAAGCGCTGCAAGCAGGGCCTGCCCGCTTTCCGCCAGTCGCAGCCCAGCCGCCAAGTGCTGGCGGAATTCCAGCGCCGGGAGCCTTACAAGTTCCTGCAGTTCGCCTACTTCAAGGCAAGTCAGCCCCGCCCCACCCTGGCTTCCAGGCCCCGCCCCATACCAGGGCACGCCTATTCCTCCCCGCCCACCGAGGCCCCGCCCTCGTGAAGGCCGCGCCCTACTCCCTCGGCCCTAGGCCCCACCCCCAGGCCAGGACGCCTACATTCTTGGCCCATCGAGGCCCCGCCCCTTGGAGGCCCCACCCCTACTGAGCTCACCACCGCCCCTACCCTGAGTCTGTTCTAGACCCCGCCCCGCCCCCTGGACTCATTCCCTGGCTCCGCCCCCAAGCCGGGTCCTCTCTGCCTGGGGCGGTGTTACACTGGCCTCTGGACCCAAGTCTCACCTGGCTCTCTAGATCCTGCCTCTTAAAATCTTCAAGGTAGAAATGAAAATCCTCTCCTTGAAGCCTTGTTCTAAGGTTAAAAAGTAGATAGGTACACAGGACACTGCAGTGTCTGGAGCCCAACAAAGAGCTTCTGATCAACGTTGCCTGTCGTTTGAGGTCTTTTTTGTAACATACCATTTAAATTGTCTTTCTCAGAGGAGTTGGGACTTTGGATAATAAAGCTTAGAGGATTGCAGGCGTCTGGATAATAAAGCCTGCAGGTTTGGAGGAGTCAGAAGTGCATCTTTAGGCCAAGGCGTGGTAGGAACTCTGGATACATTCCAAATAGGGAGCAGGCAAGCTGCTCTGTGTGCTTGCTTGCCAGATTTTTGGCTACTGGTACACCTTTCTGCAGTAAATTTTGCCTTGCTGGGACAGTTTTTTATTTTCCTGTCTATAGTTGTGACTCCAGTGGTTCTTACAGAGCATATTTATAATATACCCCAGGACTAGCACCAAAGAACAACAACAAAATAAAACACAACAGAAACAACAAAAAGATGTGTTCTTATTAAACTTAACCCAGCTAGCCTCTGGATCTCAACCTCCTCAGTAGCTAGGATTACAGGATCAGGCCACCTCACCTGACTACAAACTCATTCTGAATGTCAAAAGCCAGTTATTTCTATTGCTATATTCATCATATGTCGCCAAAAAAACCAAATTGCTAGCACTCTCTTAGATGTACAGAGGTATTCACTGAGACACAATTAACAAACAGATAGATGAATATCTTTTATATTAGCTTTAAGCTTGAGTTTTTTTAATTCCTGGTAGCTGTTTAACATGCCTGATTTTCCCTAATCTATTCTGTCTCAATAAGAGTCTCAGGAACTTTCCTGCCGAGGGCTGCCTCAGGTCCTCAGATCTGATCCTGAGATCAGATCCTCAGATCTCAGCCTCTGGAGTAGATAGGATATAGATACGAGCCATCAGCATCTGGCTAACTTCTGTATTTTGACCTGGCACCAACTTCCCCCAGGCAGAAAAACTTAGTATTGGCTGGCCACTGTTTCAAAAAGCAGAAGAGAAGGGGAACAAACAGGAATTAACTTTATAAAATGCTAGGTAAAGCCAGGCGCTGGTGGCTTACTTTTGTAATCCTAACTACTCAGGAGGCTGAGCTCTAAGGTTCACAGTTCAAAGCCAGCCCAGTCAGGAAAGTCTAATTGGAGATAGGAAAGTCCTACCTCAATTAACCACCAGAAAACTGGAAGTGGCGCTGTGGCTCAAAGTGGTAGAGTGCTTGCCTTGATCTGAAGAGCTCAGAGATAGCACCCAGGCCCAGGCCCAGAGTTCAAGCCCCATGACTGACAAAGAAAAACAGCTAGGTAATTATGTTATGTCATTGAATCATGGATACTTAGCATGTCTGTTCTTGTCCCAAGAATGCCAGGCACCAGGAATGAAGACACAGTTGGGCCCTCCAAGGATCCAAGTCTAATGGGGGAGATAGACACAATGTTTGAGATTACAGAGTGGTGTAAGAATGGGGAGCCAGGTGCCAGTGGCTCAAGCCTATAATCCTAGCTATTCTGGAGGCTGAGAACTGAGGATCATGGTTCAAAGCCAGCCTAGGTAGGGAAGTCTGTGAGACCTAATCTCCAATTAACTACCAGAAGAGCAGTACCAGAAAACAGAAAACCAGCAGTGGCACTGTAGCTCCAAGTGATGGAGCGCTAGCCTTGAGCAAAAGAGCTCAGGAACAGCACCCAGGCCTAAGTTCAAGCCACACCACCAGAAACAACAACAACAACAAATTGGAGAGACAAACCACAGAGGTAACAGAAAAGAGTCTTTTAATTGAGGTTCCCAGCTAGTTGCTCATTCCTATAATCCTAGTTACTCAGGAGGCTGAGATCTGAGAATTGTGCTTCAAAACCAGCTTTGGCAGAATACTCCAAAGAGACTCTATTTCTAATTAACCAGGAAAAAAATAAAAGCTGAACTGGATGTATGACTCAAGCAATAGAACACCAGCCTTTGAACAACAACATAGAACCGAGGGTTCTATGAGAGATTTGGGAAAATGTATGTCAGGGTTCCAGCAGAGAAGTGGCACTGGTTACTCAGAGTGGGAGGGCACTTGGCTGACTAAGGAGGTTGTTTACAAAGGTGTGGGGATGTGGACACCCACAGGAACAGTAGTACCCTAGGGCTGGGATCAGTTGTGAGGGACCAAAGGAGCAAACCTGGAGCAATTACTGGCACCTGGAAGGAGGCACTACCTGGAGAGGCCAGACAATCATGAGATCTAAGTTGCTGGAAGGGAACCTGGAGGCGAAGTGAGCCCTCCAGCTGCAGCCCTTACTCATCTCTCCTATTTCCTCATTGGAAGCCGGAGGACAAAAGAGTGGGTTGTAAAAGCCCACACAAAGTAGCCTCTGATCACCCAAAATGGCCCCAGGAAAGATAGCCCAGAATAGCTGGGGAAGGGCATGAGGAGGCCCTCCAGTTAGCTTTAGGGGACATACCTTCTGGGGACAAATGCTCCTCAGAATGTCTAGACCAGGTCTTGCTTGGTCCTAGATATAATTGAACCCTTAGCCAGAAACATTGTTTGGGGACATAAAATTAATGAAGGGCTGCTAGAGTGACTGAGAAGACATTTTTTTAAATATCTATTTTTTAAGTCACAAATGCCTTTTAATCTTCACAATGATAGTTATCATTAATCTACATTGCTCATGAAGTCTATGACCTTTAACACCACAACACAACTAATGTTTTTTTTTTTTTTGTCGGTTTGTCTGTCGTGGGGCTTGAACTCTGGGCTTGGGGGCTGTCCCTGCGCTCTTCAGCTCAAGGCGAGCGCTCTGCTGCTTGAGCCATAGCGCCACTTGCGGTTTTCTAGTGGTTTCTCGGAGATAAGAGTCTCACGGACTTTCCTGCCTGGGCTGGCTTTGAACCGTGATCCTCAGATCTCAGCCTCCTGAGTAGCTAGGATTACAGGTGTGAGCCACCGGCGCCCGGCTCACAACTAATTTTTTTGGGTACAAATCAGGTGATATGTACATTTCTTTCCCTTTGCTTAGTTACCTGCTTTTCCCTCTTTGAGAAGACATTCTTGTTTAATAAAATGCACTGGTATGGCATCCATGTACTAGCCGGCATCACTCTTCTTTGTACTTAGGCAAACAATCTCCCGAAAGCCATCGCAGCTGCGCATACCTTTCTTCTGAAGCATCCTGATGATGAGATGATGAAGAGGAACATGGCATATTACAAAAGCTTGCCTGGTGCTGAGGAATACATTAAGGACTTGGAAACCAAATCATATGAGGTATATTCAGATTTTACACAGCAGTTAGTAAAATATGCTTGTTAATTGTGTCTCAGTGAATATCTCTGTACATCTAAGAGAGTGCTAGCAATTTGGTTTTTTTGGTGACATATGATGAATATAGCAATAGAAATAACTGGCTTTTGACATTCAGAATGAGTTTGTAGTCAGGTGAGGTGGCCTGATCTGTAACCCTAGCTACTGAGGAAGTTGAGATCCAGAGGCTAGCTGGGCTAAATTTAATGCGAACACATCTTTTTGTTGTTGCTGTTGTGTTTTATTTTGTTGTTGTTCTTTGGTGCTAGTCCTGGGGTATATTATAAATATGCTCTGTAAGAACCACTGGAGTCATAACTATAGACAGGAAAATAAAAAACTGTCCCAGCAAGGCAAAATTTACTGCAGAAGGGTGTAGTAGCCAAAAATCTGGCAAGCCAGCACACAGAGCAGGCAAGCTGCTTCCTATTTATTCCTAACCAGCAGGCCCTGCCCCTCTGCTCAGATTGGTTGAGCTCTGGTTCACAATCTGCTTGTGATTGGCTACTTTACATAAAGTAAAGTGTATTTACATAAGTAATCCCAAAATATTCCTACATCCTTGACTTTTTTTGTTTTTTTTTGTCAGTCGTGGAGCTTGATCTGTGGGCCTGGGCACTGTCCCTCAGCTCTTCAGCTCAAGGCGAGTGCTCTACCACTTGAGCCACAGTGCCACTTCTGGTTTTCTAGTGGTTTATTGGAGATAAGAGTCTCGGCCTTTCCTTCCCCGGCTGGCTTTGAACTGCATTCCTCAGAGCTCAGCCTCCTGAGTAGCTAGGTTTACAAGCGGGAGACAAGGGTCCTTGACTATTTTTTGAACTGAGGTGTATTTTAATTCCATCTTGAAAAGAAACTTGTCTTAACTCCTTAACCAGAGCCAAGCCACCTGGCCAAAAGCAGGAACTTTGAAGCCACATACTTTGATAGGAAAATGTTTTCCCACTAGCTTAGGCATTGTCCCTGATCATTTTGTGCTCCAGGCTAATGTTCTACCATTTGAATCACAGCCCCACTTCCAGTTTTGTTTATTTTGGTGGTTGGAGTTGTAAGTCTCTGAGACTAGCCTTCTTGGGCAGGGGGTGGGTCACAGCCTGTTTGGATTGTTATTACAAAATACCTTAGAGTAGGTAATTTATAAACAACAGAAGTTTATTACTCACAGTTTTGGATGCTGGAGGGCCCAAGGTACTACAGATTTAGTGTCCACCCAGGGCAATCTGTTGCAAAGGCTTCACTTTATTGCCACATCCTGTCCTTGCAGAAGTGAGTGGAGAGCTCTTTTCTTATCTTTTTTTTTTTTTTTTTGGTGGGTTGTGGGGCTTGAACTCTGGGCCTGGGCGCTGCCCCTGCGCTCTTCAGCTCAAGGCGAGCGCTCTGCCACTTGAACCTCAGCACCACTTCCAGTTTTCTAGTGGTTTATTGGAGATAAGAGTCTCACAGAGGGCTGGGAAGGTTGCTCAGTGGTAGAACGCTTGCCTTGCATGCATGAGGCTCTGGGTTCGATTCCTTAGCACCACATAAGCAAAAAGAAAAAATCCGGAAGAGTCTCACGGACTTTCCTGTCCATGCTGGCTTTGAACTGAGATCCTTAGATCTCAGCCTTCTAAGTAGCGAGGATTACAGGGGTGAGCCGACACCCAGCTTTTATTTATTTATTTTTTTGGTCATGGGGCTTGAACTGTGAGCCTGGGCGCTGTCCCTCAGCAATTGAGCTCAAGGCTAGCTCCCTACCACTTAAGCCACAGCGCCCACTTCTAGCTTTTTCTGTTTATGTGGTGCTGAGGAATCCAACCCAGGGCCTCATGCATGGGAAGCAAGCACTCTACCACTGAGCCACCTTTTTTTTTTAAAGTGGTTAATTGGAAATAGTGTCACAGACTTTCCTGCCTGAGCTGGTTTAGAGTTGAGATTCTGAGATCTCAGCCTCCTGAGTAGCTAGGATTACAGCCATAAGCCATCAGTGCCCAGTACTGCCTGACATTTAAACTCCATGTTTTAAATATTTTACTATTAAGTATACAATTCAATAACTTGTGACTATAAGCAGATTATTGACTACCTCCAGGAACAGGATAAAGGAGTATTTTATTTTATTTTTTTTATTTTTGTATTTTTTTGGGGGTCTGGTCCTGGGGCCTGAACTCTGGGCCTGGTGGGCGCTGTCCCTCAGCTCTTCAGCTCAAGGCTAGCGCTCTACCACTTGAGCCACAGCCCCACTTCCGGCTTTTCTTTTCTGCTTATGTGGTGCTGAGGAATCGAACCCAGGGCCTCAGGCATGCAAGGCAAGCGCTCTACCACTGAGCCACCTTCCCAGCCCCATAAAGGACTATTTTAATCCCCTCTGACTAGTTCCCTCCTGTCCCTTCGAAGTTCTGCCTTTGTCCCAGCCCTCACTCCTGGCAGCTTCTGATCTGATCTCTGTCACTTTTCCCTTCATTTGAATTTGATTTTATTATCAGTATCAGCTACTTTTTAAATTGAATGGGATAAGTATAGAAAAATCTAAATCTAAAGCAAGTGGAATAGTGGCTTCTTCAGGCCTGGGGAGAGTAGTTTGGAGATGGTCTTGATTCCTTTATACTTTTTGCTGTTACTCAGGTTTGAACTCGGCTTTGGGCTTGCTAGGCAAGCCACACTTGAGGTATACTTCCAGCATTTTATTTATTAGGCTGAGTATTTTTGGGATAGGGTTTTGCTTTCTAACCAAACCTAGACTGCCTATTTTAGGCTTTCCATCATAGCTGGGATGAAACGTGAATCTGCCATGTCTAGCTTCTTTTCTTAAGGTAGAGTCTCTTGGGCTTTTCTGGCCAGGCTGGGCTAGGCTAGGAGTATGATCTCCTGATCTCAGCCTCCCACGTAGTTGGAATGACAGGTGTGATCCACCAGCACCTGGCTTTTTGATTCCTTTTGAGGGGATGTGTCTGCCTCCTTTCCTGCCCAGGATAAGCTTTGTAGGCTCTCTTTGCTTTTCAGACCCTGTTCATCCGAGCAGTTCGAGCATACAATGGCGAGAATTGGAGAACGTCCATCACAGACATGGAGCTGGCCCTTCCTGACTTCTTCAAAACCTTTTATGAATGTCTTGCAGCCTGTGAGGGTTCCAGGGAGATCAAGGACTTCAAGGATTTCTACCTTTCCATAGCAGGTTGGTTGGAGGGTTGGGTCCTGGAGTAGATGTCATGGTTACTGTTGTGGGCGGCTTCCTCAGATGTCTATTTTTTGTCTAGATGCCTACCAGTGTTGTAAGTGGCCTCTCAGGGATTTGTAAGATTAAATATTAATGAATGGCTAGGGCCGGTGTCTCACACCTATAATCCTAGCTACTCAGGAGGCTGAGATCTGAGGATCATGGTTCAAAGCCAGCCTGGGCAGGAACGTCCGTGAGGCTCTTATCTTCAAGAAACCACTAGAAAACCAGAAGTGGCATGGTGGCTCAAGCAGTAGAGTGCTCACCTTGAGCTGAAGAGTGCAGGGACAGCATCTAGGCCCAGAGTTCAAGCCCCACGACTGACCAAAAAAAAAAAAAATTAATGAGTAACTGGGGGTAATGGACATCAATCTAGATGAGTCCATGGCGTGGCAGAGCCTTCTGGCAAAGCACCTGACAAAACATTCTAGCCCAGGCCTACAGAGAAGTCCTGGTATCTGTCCTGCTTTATTGTACTTTGCTGAGGCTTTTAGAAAAATAAAAATGAGTGGCTGGGAATGTGGCATGCATGAAACCCTGGATTCGATTCCTTAGTACCACATTAACAGAAAAAGCCGAAGTGGTGGTATTGCTCAAGTGGTAGAGCCCTAGCCTGGAGCATAGAGAGGCTCAGAAATAGAGCCCAGGCCCTGAGTTCAAGCCCTAGGACTGGCAAAATAAAAAAAAAAAAAGAAAAAGAAAAATAGAAGCTGAGATGGCTCACCTGTGATCTGAGGATCAAGGTTTGAAACTAGCCTGGGCAGGAAAGACTTTTCTGGAACTTCAGATATTCTCACTTTCAGCTTCCCATGGAGTTCACTATGACGACTAGTGTCCAGCTTCAAGCCTTTGTGTATGTGTGTGTGTGTGTGTGTGTGAGAGAGAGAGAGAGAGAGACAGACAGACAGACAGACAGAGACAGAGACAGAGATAGAGAGACAGAGAGACACACCCTGGGGTTACACTAAGGGCCTTAAATTCTTATTTGACTCTTCACTTAAGACTGTTGCTCTACCACTTGAGGCATGCCTCCACTTCCAATATTTTGCTGGATAAATGGAGCTAAGAGTCTTATGGATGTTCAAACCTCAGATCTCAACCTCCTGAAGAGCAGGAAGTGAGCTACCAGCACTCAGCTAATTAAGCTGTCTTTGCATGCACTCTCCATTTGTACTAGAATCTTTTCATCTTTCTGTATTGAAACTTTACTTGTTAAACAATAATGTTCTTCTTTCCTGGTAGCCATCCTTCTAAATTTTGTCTCTATGTATCTGACTACTCTAGAGGGATTGATATGATATGTAATATAAGTGGAGTCACAGAGTATTAGTGTATTTGTGACTGATTTATTATACTTAGTGTAATGTGTTCAAGGTGTATTCATATTGTAGCTTTTTTTTTTTTTTTTTTTTTGTCCACCATGGAGCTTGAACTCAGGCCTGGCACTGTCCCTGAGCTCTTTGACTAAAGGCTAGTGCCCTACCTCTTTGAGCCACAGTGCCACTTCCAGTTTTATGGTGGTTAATTGGAGATAAGAGTCTTTTAGTCGGATGCTGGTGGATTACGCCTGTAATTCTAGCTGCTTAGGAGGCTGAGATCTGAAGATTGTGGTTCAAAGCCAGCCTGGGCAAGAAAATCCATTAGACTCTTATCTCTAGTTAACCACCAGAAAACTGAAAGTGGTGCTGTGGCTCAAGTGGTAGAGTAGCCTTGAGCTGAAGAGCTGAGGACAGTGCCTAAGCCCAGAGTTCAAGACCAATGACTGACAAAAAAACAAAAACAAGAACAAAAAGTCTTATAGACATTCTTGCCTGGGCTGGCTTTGAACCATGCTCCTTAGATCTTAGCCCCCTAAATAGCTAGAACTAAAGGCATGAGCTACTGGTGTTCAGCAGAGATTCCTAATCTTGATTTTGCTGCTTATACCTCCATTTTCCTGAGTCCTCCATCCTCCCTCCTTCCTTCCCTCCTTCCCTCCTTCTCTCCTTCCCTCCTTCCTTCTTTCTTTCCTTTCCTTTCCTTCCTTCCTTCCTTCCTTTCTCTCTTTCTCTCTTCCTTCCTTTCTTTCTTTCTCTGGGAATTGAACCCTAACGCTTTATCTTGCTGGGCAGATGTTCTATCACTTGAACCATGCCTATGCCTCTGTTCTTGTATTTTTTGCCAGTACTGAGGCTTAAACTCAGTTTTGGGGTTTTCCATTCATGGCTGGTGCTGTACCACTTGACCCCTCCTTTTAGTCTGGCATTTTGTTGGTTAATTAGAAATAGAATCTTAAAGACTTTTGTCCTGACCTGACTAGTTAGGATTACAAGTGTAAGCCTCCAATGACAGGCTAAAAGTTGCAAATATTCTTTTCTTTCACTTTGATCATTTATAGGAGAGGCAGAAGTACCATATATATACTTATATATATATATTTAAAATTATTACTATAAAAGTGATGTACAGAAGGGTTGCAGTTACATAAGTCGGGTAAAGAGTAAATTTCTTTGTGAACAGTGTCATCCTTTCTCTTGCTGTCTCCCAGTTTTTCCCTCCCATCCCCACCTACAAGTTGTATAATTCATTTTCAACATAGTGTCTAGTGAGTACAACTGCTGTGTTTGTTCACCCATTGTCTCTCCATTGCAGTGCTCCACTTTACCATCCCAAAGACAGATAAACAAACAAAAAAGAAAAGGAAAAAAAACCCTATTGTTTCCATATCTTGGAGTTCATTTCAATAAATATTATTTTTTGATCACATGCATATAGGCCTTATGCCTTTGTGTTCCTCTAAGAATGTCCTCTTTTGGTGTCACTGTGTGTGAATGCCTGGAGTCCTGTATAATTCATTATGCTCCAGTGTCAGAAGTACCAAATTAAGAAAGCAATGGGAGCCAGGTGCAGGTGGCTCATGCCTATAATTCTAGCTACTCAGGAGGTTGAATCTAAAAATCATGATTCAAAGCCAGCTCAGGCAAGAAAGTACATGAGACTGTTATCTCCAATCAATTACCAAAAAAGCCAGAAGTAGAGCTATGTCTCAAGTGATAGAGCACTAGCCTTGAGCAAAAAAAGCTTAGGGACATCGCCCAGGCCCTGAGTTCAAGCCCCAGAACTTATGTGTGTGTGTGTGCGTGCGCGCGCGCACATAAACACACACACACACACACACACACACACACACACACACACACAGAGCGGTGGTTGGGGATGTATCTCAGTGGTATAGCGGTATAGCACTAACTAAGCTTGTGTGGTACCCTGGGTTTGGTTTTTTGTTTGCCTGTCCTGAGGCTTGAACTCAGGGGCCTGGGCACAGTCCCTGAGCTTCATTTGCTCAAGGTCAGTGTTCTACCACTTGAACCACAGCTCCACTTCTGGCTTTTTCCTCCGTTTATGTGGTACTGAGGAATCGAACCTGGGGCTTCATGAATGCTAGGCAAGCACTCTACCATTGAGCCACCTCTCCAGCCCAACCTGGGTTCTATCTCCTGCTCCACAAAAAAACAAAAACAAAAACAAAGGTGAAACAGAAAGTAATGACTGTATGGCTCTGAAATTTTGTGTATGTTTTCAGATCATTATATTGAAGTTCTACAATGCAAAATACAGTGTGAAGAGAACCTCACACCAGTTATAGGTGGCTATCCGGTGGAGAAATTTGTGGCGACCATGTATCACTATTTGCAGTTTGCTTATTACAAGTGTAAGTAACCTATGGAACTGTGGGTAAAGTTTTGAATCCCATATGGACTTAGCTTTTGCATTGGTAAAGTAGATGTAACAGCCCTTATCTGTGGTAGCTGAGTCCATCAAGTTCATGTTGATTGACAGCCCTGAGGATGTACTATATGTGAAAAGGCAGCAAGGCCCAGGATTCAGGCATAGACACTGGAGTTACAATGCTGGATTTGAACTTCAGCTCTGTCACTTTCTAACTTCTCTGTACTTCAGTTTATTTTTCTGCATAATAGAGATAATAGTAGTTACTTCAGATTGTCACAAAGAGTGAGTTCATGGGTATGAAATGCTTGGGGTATTCACACACTAGAGCATAACACCGTGTACTGGGTAAGGTTGTAGTTGTCATTGTCCATTCTTCCCATCATCAGCTTTACTCTGTGTGTGTGTGTGTGTGTGTGTGTGTGTGTGTGTGTGTGTGTGTGTGTATGTGTGTTGGTACTGGGGTTTAAACTCAGAGCTAGAACCCTACTACTTGAGCTATAGCTGTACTAGTTTTTTGTTGTTGTTGTTGTTATTGAAGGTCTTGAATTCAGGGTCTGTCCCTAAGCTCTTTTGCTCAAGGCTAGCACTCTTACCACTTTGAGTCACAACTCCACTTCTGGTTTTCTGGTGGTTAATTGGAAATAAGAGTCTCACAGAGGGGCTGGGAAGGTGGCCCAGTGGTAGAGTGCTTACCTGGCATGCATGAGGCCCTGGGATTCCTCAGCACCACATAAGCAGAAAAATCTGGGAGTGGTGCTGTGGTTCAAGTGGTAGAGCACTACTCTTGAGCTGAAGAGCTGAAGGACAATGCTCAGGTCCAGAGTTCAGGCCCCATAACCGACCCCCACTTCTCCCCTACAAAAAAAAAGTCTCACAGACTTTCCTGCTTGGGCTGCCTTTGAACCACAATCCTCAGATTTCAGCCACTGGTGCCTGGCATCAGCTTTACTTTGTAGACTATGAGAGCCCTGTTCCATTTGAATGAGAACATTGCCAGTGGACAGAGGGCAGTGAATAGAGAAGAGGAGCTAGCTCAGAGCTTTGCTTCCCTCCCATCATTCACTGTGCTCAATGCTGCTTTTTGAGCAGTATGTACCTTGTCTGTCCGGATGTAAGCAGAAGGGTTATCGTGGACAGATGTATCAGGAACTGCTCTGTTCTCATAAGAAGGGTCAGAGTCTAATGATGTCTTGACTCTGGCCTCTGAAAGAGGCCCTGCAAGGAGGGAGAGGTGACCTGAGCTTCTAGAACCTTCTTTCAAATTGGGCTCTTTTTTTTTTTTTTTCCTCATTGAGTTTCTTCTTCTTGCAACAATAGCCACTTATTCTTTGATTTCCCCGGGACACGGAAAGAAAGCTTTGCCTGTTAAAGGTTAAAAATAATATGTACAACTGGAAGGGAGTGTTGTAGACACATCCAGGCCCTGCAGCTCCCTTCCTGTGAAGTACTCACCTGCTCTGAGATTGGCCTGTGGATCAGAAATTTGACAGAGGCACTTGTAACACAGGTGGAACAAAGTCTCCAGTTTTGCCTGTTTTTCTTTGGGAAGCTCTTGCTTTCCAGGGCTATTGGTAAACACAGTAAGTACTTCACTTCCTGAAACTTACTTCTACTCTAAGCCTTTCTTGTGTTTTGTTTTTTGTTTTGGTGTGTGTGTGAGTGGTTTTTGTTTTTGTCGGTTATGAGGCTTGAACTTAGGGCCGGGGTGCTGTCCCTGAACCTCTTTGTGCTCAAGGTTAGCGTTTTACCACTTGAGCCACAGCGCCACTTCCGGTTTTTGAGTGGTTAATTGGAGATAAGAGTTTCATAGGCGGGCTGGGAAGGTGGCTCAGTGGTAGAGCACTTGCCTTGCATGCATGAGGCCCTGGGTTTGATTCCTCAGCACCACATAAGCAAAAAGAAAAAAGCCGGAAGTGGCACTGTGGCTCAGGTGGTAGAGTGCTAGCCTTGAGCTGAAGAGCTGAGGGACAGCACCCAGGCCCAGAGTTCAGGCCCCACAACCGGACCCAAAAAAAAAAAAAAGAGTTTCATAGTCATTTTTCTGCCCAGGCTGATTTCAAACTGTGATCCTCAGATCTCAACCTCCTGAGTAGCTAGAATTATAGTCATGAGCCATCAGCACCTGGCTGCCTTCCCTGTTTCCCTGTTTCCCTGTTTTGAACTCTCTCTCTCTCTCTCTTTTGTTGGTCATGGGGCTTGAATTCAGGTCCAGGGTGCTGTCCCTGGGCATTTACAATCAAGGCTAGCAATTTACCACTTTGAGTGGTAAATTGGAAATAAGAGACTCATGGACTTTACTGCTTGAGCTGGCTTTGAACTGTGATCCTTAGATTTCAGCCTCCTAAGTAGCTAGAATTACAGGCGTGAGCCATTGGTGCCTGATTTTTTTTTTTTTTTTTTTAGTGGTTATTATACTTTTAAAAATATCTTTGGGGCTGGGAAGGTGGCTCAGTGATAGAGTGCTTGCCTGGCATGCTTGAGGCCCTGGGTTTGATTCCTCAGCACCACATAAGCAGAAAAAGCCAGAAGTGGCACTGTAGCTCAAGTGGTAGAGCACTAGCCTTGAGGTGAAGAGAGAGGGACAGCGCCCAGGCCCAGAGTTCAGGCCCTACGACCGACAAAAAATAAAATAAAATAAATTATCTTTAAATGGTTGTACAAAGGAGGTGCCATATTATAAAGCATACAGTGCATCTTGATCAACATCACTCCAACATTCTCACCCACCCCTTCCCTTCTTTTTTTTTTTTGGCAGTCCTGGGGCTTGAACTCAGGGCCTGGGCACTGTCCCTGAGCTTCTTTTTTTTTTTGTCGGTCGTGGGGCTTGAACTCTGGGCCTGGGCACTGTCCCTCAGCTCTTCAGCTCAAGGCGAGCGCTCTACCACTTGAGCTACAGTGCCACTTCCGGTTTTGTGGTGGTTTATTGGAGATAGGAGTCTCACGGTCTCTCCTGCCCGGGCTGGCTTTGAACCGCGATCCTCAGATCTCAGCCTCCTGAGTAGCTAGGATTACAGGAGTGAGCCACCAGCGCCCGGCTGTCCCTGAGCTTCTTTTGCTCAAGACTAGCACTCTACCACTTGAGCCACTGCCACTTCGGCTTTTTCTGTTTATGTGGTACTGAGGAATTGAACCCAGGGCTTCATGCGTGCTAGGCAAGCACTCTACCACTAGGCCATATTCTCAGCTCCCATGCTAATTTCTTTTTTCTTTTTTTGGGTCCGGTCGTGGGGCCTGAACTCTGGGCCTGGGCGCTATCCCTCAGCTCTTCAGCTCAAGGCTAGCGCTCTACCACTTGAGCCACAAGCTTTTTTCTTTTTGCTTATGTGGTGCTGAGGAATCGAACCCAGGGCCTTGAGCATGCAAGGCAAGCGCTCCACCACTAGCCACCTTCCCAGCTCACCCCCCCCCCCCTACTAAATTTCTTGAGGGCAGATGTTAACTGTGTTTCAATTTGAAACCTTCCTTAGGATTTTAGGTTGTTATTATAGGAAACAGCCACTGGGTGGCAAAATACACCCATTCCCAAGGCTAATTACTTTTGCTAACCAGAGTTTTGGCAGAAATATTCCTCTCTTGTAAATTGTAAATCGGGGAGGAACATGCCAGAATAAATACCCCAAATGTTCTGACAGTGATATGGGTGGGGTAATCCTAATAGGGAGGCTGGAAGGATTATCCCCAGTACCCAGGAGACAACATGACTAAGTGACCTCAAAGGTACCATCCTTTCTGAGGGCAGCTCAGGTCACCAGAGCTTGAGATGGCATCTGGACATGCCTGCCAAGCATCTGCCTAACAAGTATCTTCTATGCCCCCCCTTCCCCCCCCACTACTGGAGGTTGAACTCAGGTTCTCATACTTTTTCTTTTCTTTTCTTTTCTTTTTTGGGTCCGGTGATGGGACCTGAACTCTGGGGCCTGGGTGCTGTCCCTCAGCTCTTCAGCTCAAGGCTAACGCTCTACCACTTGAGCCACAGCGCCACTTCCGGCTTTTTTTCTGTTTGCTTATGTGGTGCTGAGGAATCGAACCCAGGGCCTCATGCATGCAAGGCAAGCGCTCTACCACTGAGCCACCTTCCCAGCCCCCATCTCATACTTTTTCAATCAAGGCTGACGCTCTACCACTTGAGCTATGCCTCCACTTCTGACATTTTGCTGGTTATTTGGAGATAAGAATCTTTTAAAGGAGCTGGGAAGGTGGCGTAGTGGTAGAGCGCTTGCCTTGCATGCATGAGGCCCTGGGTTCGATTCCTCAGCACCACATAAGCAGAAAAAGCTGGAAGTGGCACTGTGGCTCAAGTGGTAGAGCGCTAGCCTTGAGATGAAGAGCTGAGGGACAGCGCCCAGACCCAGAGTTCAGGGCCCACGACCAAACCAAAAAAAAAAAAAAAAAAAAGAATCTCTTGGATTTGTCTGCCTGTACTGCCTTTGAAAGCTCAATTCTTAGATATCAGCCTGCTGGGTAGCCAGTTAGGATTACAGGTACAGGCCACTGGTGCCTTGTTCTTCCATGCTTCCAACTGTCTGCCCTGATTCTGATGGCTCGTAGGGAGTGGAGCTGTTCCATGATCTTTTTCTCTAGGAAGCAGAGCTTGCAGGAAGTGTGGCTGGAGGGAAGCAGTTGGAGGACAGGACTCATTTCCCCATCCTATTCTCTCCCGGTTCTAGTGAATGACCTCAAGAACGCTGCCCCCTGTGCTGTCAGCTACCTACTCTTCGACCAGAATGATAAGGTCATGCAGCAGAACCTGGTGTACTACCAGTACCACAGGGACAAATGGGGCCTTTCTGATGAGCATTTCCAGCCCAGACCGGTGAGTGCCAGTGCTCAGAATCTCATAGTCCCTCTCTCCCTTCATCCCTCATCTTCCTTTAAGGAAACTTCTTTCTCCTAAAGCAAAAGGGCTAGTTCAGAAATAAAAGCAATTGCATTAAATTTTTTTTGGACATTTTACTGCTTTTTTTAAAAAAAATTTCTAACTCTGTGCACATTCTACAAATGTCAAACATTATAAAACTATCTTATCTAGAAAATGAAATTCTCAAGCCAGGTGCTGGTGGCTCATACCTATAATCCTAGCAACTCAAGAGGCTGAGATCTGAGGTTCACAGTTTGATGCCAGCCTAGGCAGTAATGTCCATGAGATTCTTATCTGTAATTAACCACCCAACAAATCTAGAAGTGGAGCTGTGGCTCAAGTGGTAGAGTGCCAACCTTGAGCACTAGCTCTGTTCAAACGCCAGTAACAGCACCAAAAACAGAAAACAAAACAAAAACATTATGAGAGAGATTTTCTCATAACTCTACAGATTCTCTGCTTAGTAAAACTGTCTGGTAGCTGTACATTTTCTCAGGAAGCCTGAATTTATTCATTTATTTTTCACAAAAGCTGCATCTACTCCCCATACTGTGAATATTTTTCCATGTCCCATTCATGTAATTACTTTTTGTTCCTTTTCAATAGCACCATGTAGGTGCTTTTGTGACTGGACCATCTTTTAATTTCCTGGTGGACCAACTTTGAGTTGTTGTCAGGGAACTTCCCAAAAGTGTTTTTCAGTGGGTCTTTGTATTTTCAACACAATTTCTGTATGCTATCTTGCTTTATCATAAATTTATCTTTAATACCTCTCCTATTTTTTGTTTATTTATTTGTCTGTTTATTATTCTGGGGCTTGAACTTAGAACTTTATGCTTACTTGCTTTGCTTACACGGCTAGAGCTCTGCCATTTAAACCACACCTCCAGCCCAACATTTTGCTAGTTACTTGGAGATAGAATCTCATGAACTTTTCTGACTAGGCTGGCTTTGAACTGCAATCCTCAGGTCCTAGCCTCCTAAATAACTAGGATTACAAGCATGAACCATCAGTGCCTGCCTCATTTACTATATTTTATTTTATTTTATTTATCTATCTATCTATCTATTTATATATATATATATATTTATTATTTTTTTGCCAGTCCTGGGGCTTGAACTCAGAGCCTGGGTACTGTCCCTGAGGTTCTTGTGCTCAAGGTTAGTATTCTTCAACTTGAGCCACAGTGTGACTTTCAGCTTTTTCTGTTTATATAGTACTAAGGAATTGAATCTGGGACTTCATGCATGTTAGGCAAGCACTCTACCACGAAGCTACATTCCCAGCCCTTATTTTATATTTTTTGTGCTAGTACTAGAGCTTACTCAGGGCCTAGGCACTGTCTTTTAGCTTTTTCACTCAAGGCTGCTGTTCTACCACTTGAGCCATACCTCCATATCCAGGTTTTTGCTGTTTAATTGGAGATGAGTCTCACTTTCTTGCCCTGTTTGGCTTCAAACTATGATCCTTAGATCTCAGTCTCCTGATCAGTGTCCATTATTATGTACTAATTTTAAATTGAGATATAATTTATATGCCATAGAATTTCTTTATTTTTATTTTTTTGGCCAGTCCTGGGGCTTGAACTCAGGGCCTGGGCACTGTCCCTGAGCTTCTTTTGCTCAAGGCTAGCACTCTACCACTTGAGCCAGAGTGCTACTTCCAGCTTTTTCTGTTTATGTGTTACTGAGGAATCGAACCCAAGGCTTCATGCATGCTAGGCAAGCACTCTACCACTAAGCCACCTTTGCAGCCCGCCATAATTTTTTTTTTTTTTTGGGTGCAGTTGTGGGGTCTGAACTCTGGGCCTGGGTGCTGTCCCCTCAGCTCTTCAGCTCAAGGCTAGCGCTCTAACACTTGAGCCTCAGCGCCACTTCTGGCTTTTTTCTTTTTGCTTATGTGGTGCTGAGGAATCGAACCCAGGGCCTCTGGCATGCAAGGCAAGTGCTCTACCACTGAGCCACCTTCCCAGCCCCCATAAAATTTTTTAATATGTATAAATCAGTAATTTAGAATGTTCAGTTGTGTAACCCCTCCCACCATTGGGAGGAGTTCCATTATCCCAGAAAGAAATTCCATACTCTGTGCCCACCCCCCTCCCCTCCACCAGCTCTAACATTAAAGGCTGGCTATCTAAGCAGTTCTGTTTGTGTCTGAACAGGAAGCAGTTCAGTTCTTTAACGTGACTACACTCCAGAAAGAGCTGTATGACTTCGCTAAGGAAAATATAATGGATGATGATGAGGTAAGCTTCCATGCTTAGCACACGTCTGCTGAGAGAAACTATTACTCACATCTTTGCTAACGTCACTCGAAGGCTGAATTGTCCCTGAAATAAGAAACAGAAGGGAGCCTTGAGAAAGACACTTGCTATGGGTGTTTTAATGAAAACCAGATCTCTGCTATGGAAAATCACAGCTTTCTAGGAAGCCCAGCTGAAGTGTCATATTTCCTGCTGGCCAAGTGTATTGGGAGTGATGGTCTAGAAATCCACAGGAGTCACCCAGCGACCCTGGGGCTTTAATTTAGGGCTTGAATTAGGGCCTTACACTCTGGTTTGGCTTTTTTACCGATGGCTGGTGCTCTAACATTTAAGTCACACCTCTACTGGGCTCCAGTGGCTCACACCTGTAATCCTAGCTACTCAAGAGGTTGATATTTAAGGATCACAGTTCAAAGCCAGCCTGGACAGGAAAGTTCATGAGACTTTTTTTTTTTTTTTATTGGTTGTGGGGCCTGAACTCTGAGCCTGGGCATTGTCCCTCAGCTCTTCAGCTCAAGGCTAGTACTCTACCGCTTGAACCACAGCACCACTTCTGACTTTTTCTGCTTATGTGGTGCTGAGGAATTTTATCCAGGGCCGTAGGCATGCAAGGCAAGCACTCTACCACTGAGCCACCTTCCCAGACACCCCCCTACCCCCGACTCTTCTCTCCAATTAACCACCAGAAAACTGGAAATGATGCTATGGCTCAAGTGGTAGATTGCTCACCTTGAGCTGAAGAGCTCAGGGACAGCACCCAGGCTCAGAGTTCAAGCCCAACGACAAAAAAAAAAAAAAAAAAAAAAGTCACACTCCCACTTTGGATTGGGTCTCTTTAAAGCTGAGCCTGTTAGAGTCACTGGGATACTGTGGGAGCCAGTCCCCGAAGGAAGAATGCTAGCTACATATGTACAAAGTTAGCTTCTGCAGTTTGGGAAGTATGATCTGATGGTTGTGGAAGGAAGGGGACAGATACGAATAGGAGAGATTTGTCAGTGGATGGAGAGAAAGGACGAGATGTAGAAATGCCCTCAGGTAGAGAGGTTGGACTGTCTACTTCATATAGGCCATTTATAGGGTATCATACACATAACACTGAGTTCAGACTGGCACCAGTGGCTCACACCTGTAATCCCAGTTACTCAATAGGCTGAGATCTGAGGATCGTGGTTTAAAGCCAGCCCCAGTGGGAAAGTCTGTGAGGCTCTTTTTTTTTTTTTGTCGGTCGTGGTGCTTAAATTCTGGGCCTGGGCGCTGTCCCTCAGCTCTTCAGCTCAAGGCTAGTGGTCTACCACTTGAGCCACTGTGCCACTCTCAGTTTTCTGGTGGTTTATTGGAGATAAGAGTCTCACAGACTTTCTGCCTGGGCTGGCTTTGAACTGTAATCCTCAGATCTCAGCTTCCTGAATAGCTAAGATTACAGGTGTGAGCCACCAACACCCCGCTGTGAGACTCTTATCTCCAATAAACTACCCAAAAACTGGAAGTGGAGCTATGGCTCAAGTGGTAAGAGTGCTAGCCTTGAGAGGAAAAAAAAAAGCTAAGGAGACAGAGCACAGGTCCTGAGTTCAAGCCCTAACACTGGCATAAAACAAAACGAAGCAAAACAATCAAACAAAACCACTGAGTTCACATGGAGAATCTGAGCTCCCATCCTCAGGGAGAAAGAAATCAGGTCCTTTGGGCCAAGTCAGGAGAGAACACATGCTTCAGCCCAAGCAGGGAGCCACCAGTGACCTCTTGGGAACAATCTGCCTGGTAGCCGAAGTGGACCTACCCAACAGAGATGTTGCCTTGTCTCTCGCAGGGAGAAGTTGTGGAATATGTGGATGATCTCTTGGACTTAGAGGAGACTGCCTAATCCCCAGGAGCCAAAGACTGCTCTGCAGTGTTCAGGAAATGTTCTCTATCCTCCTTTTCCGAAGAGCCCTGGTGCTGATACCTCAAAGACTGCTCTTTAAATAGTGTAAGGGAAACCCCCATCTCTTCCATTATGAGTAACCAGGGGCCTGGCCTCCCTGGGTTCATATTGGTCTCCCCCTCTTCATATCTATCTTTCCATCTTCACACTTGTCTCATGTTCACACCTGTCCTCTGTTTACACCTGTCTCTCATGTCCGTACATTCCTTTCTCACTACTGTGGTAGGAAAGACGGTCTTCCATGGTTTGTTCCCCTCCTCCCCACTGAGAAAAATCAGTATTATTTTTTAAATAAGGAAAAAAATACTTTTCAAAGATGACAATTGTGAAATCCTCCTTGGGTCTCTTTGCTTTTCCAGATTTTAATCTCCTTTTGCTCATCCTGGAAAGATGGCAGAAGACAAAGGGTAAAAGTTCTCCAAGCCTTGCGATGGTCTTTGCTGGGTCAACCTGTACCACTTTATTTTATTTTTTTGGTGCTAGTTCTGGGGTTTGAACTCGAGGGCCTCAAGCACTCACTTAGCTTTCTCATTCAAAGCTGGTTCTCCACCATTTGAACCACATCTGCATTTCTGGCTTTTTGCCAGTTAATTGGAGATAAAAGTCTCATAGACTTTTTTTTTTTGCCAGTCGTGGGGCCTGAACTCCGGGCCTGGGCACTGTCCCTCAGCAATTTAGCTCAAGGCTAGCATCCTACCACTTGAGCCACAGCGCCACTTCCGGCTTTTTTCTTTCTGCTTATGTGGTGCTGAGGAATTGAACCCAGGGCCTCATGCATGCAAGGCAAGCACTCTACCACTGAGCCACCTTCCCAGCCTTCTCATAGACTTTTTTGCCCAGGGCTGGCTTTGAGCCATGATACTTACATCTCAGCCTCCTGAGTAGTTATTATAGTCATGAGCCATCACCTGGCAAACCTGCACTACTTTTGTCCCCAGTGACAGGCACACTGAATAGATGTTAAATACAGTACTATAGCTTTGGCCTAACACTGAAAGTCTTACAAAGGTTGTCCAATCTCATTTAAGAACAATACTCAAGCCGGGCGCCGGTGGCTCACGCCTGTAATCCTAGCTACTCAGGAGGCTCAGATCTGAGGATCACGGTTCAAAGTCAGCCTGGGCAGGAAAGTCTATGAGACTCTTATCTCCAATAAACCACTAGAAAACCGGAAGTGGTGCTGTGCCTCAACCGGTAGAGCGCTCCCCTTGAGCTGAAGAGCAACAGGGACAGCGCCCAAGCCCAGAGTTCAAGTCCCACCACCGACAAAAAACAAAAAAGAACAATACTCAGATAAGTCTTGAATTAGAAATGAAAGAAAGGCCAGGTGCTAATGGCTTATGTCTATAATTCTAGCTACTTAAGAGGCTGAGATCTGAGGATTATGCTTTGAAGCCAACCCAAGCAAAAAAGTTTGTGAGACTCTTTTTTTTTTTTTGTCGGTCTTGGGGCTTGAACTCTGGGCCTGGGCGCTGTCCCTCAGCTCTTCAGCTCAAGGCGAGCGCTCTACCACTTGAGCTACAGCGCCACTTCTGGTTTTCTGGTGGTTTATTGGAGATAAGAGTCTCACGGTCTCTCCTGCCCGGGCTGGCTTTGAACTGCGATCCTCAGATCTCAGCCTCCTGAGTAGCTAGGATTACAGGCGTGAGCCACCAGCGCCCGGCTTGTGAGACTCTTATCTCCAGTCAACCACCAGAAAAGCCAAAAGTGGAGGGAGGCATGATTCCATAGGTAGAGCACCAGTCTTGAGCAAAAAAAGCTAAAGAACAGGTGGCACACACACACAGAAAAGGAAGAAAGCCAAGGGAATCTAGTTTTATTCATTTTTTCAGTAAATGTTGAGTGTGTTCTGTGCCTGGCATTGGTCTAGACACTAGGTATACTTCACAGAATAAAACAAATACTTCATAGAATAAAATAAAATTCCTGCCCTTACAGAGCTTACATTCTTCTTTTGTTGCTGTTGGTTATGGGGCTTGAACTCAGGGCCTGGGCACTGTTCCTGAGCTCTTTTGCTCAACGCTAGTGCTCTACCACTTTGAGCCACAGCTCTGCTTCTAGTTTTCTGGTGGTTAGTTGGAGATAAGAGTCTCACTTTCCTGCCCAGATTGACAGATCCTCAGAGCTCAGCCTCCTGAGTAGTTTAGATTACAGGCATGAACCACCAGCATGCAGCAAGTTGAGCTTTTTTTACTTCGACTTATTCCCTCATCCAAATAAGACAGGACCCTCACTGGTAGAGGCAGGCCCAGCATTTGGGAGACAGGATTTTTCAAGAAAGACAGCAGACAGTGTTTGGGACCTTTGTACCATGAACAGTGAATGGGAGTGAAAAGCCCATACATTCATGCTTTTCCTAGATTCCTTCCTCCTGGGAATATGGTACATCCTTCCATTTCTCTCAAACTCTCTCCTTCCCTCAGGCCTTGGTTCTCTGGAGATCTCATCCTTGTTCTCCTGTACAAGAGTCTTTATGGAAAGTTTTCCTTGTAGGTTGCCTAACTCCATGCAGTACCTTGCCAATGTCTGTCTTTGGCAGCACCTATCCCTGCCAGTATGGGTCTTGGGCAAAAGACTGGGTTTCATTGCTGGGATGCTCATGGTCTCAGCATCTTTGCAGTTGGGTACCTTCTTGCCCAGTAGAGAGTTGGATTTTATGTGGCTTCCTAGTGGAGAGATGGTCCTTATTCCAGAAAATGCTGGGTTTTCCTTGCTTTCCATTTCCCACCCTCCATTCTTCTAGAGAACTTTCCTTTTGAAGTCCCTGGGGAAGAAGGCCATTAGGCATTCTTCTAGGGCTCCTGAGTTTGTGCAGACTGCCTGGTAGTATATGTGTTTGTGTGTGTGTGTGTGTGTGTGTGTGTGTGTGTGTACTAGGGCTTGAACTTTTGGGACCTTTGCACTCTCCTTTAGCATTTTTGCTTTACCACTTGAGCCATACCTCCACTTCTGGCTTTATTCTGTTTACTTGGTGAGAAGAGTCTCTTAGATACATCTGTCCAGGCTGACTTTGAACCTTGTTCCTAAGATCTCAGCTCCCTGAGTAGGATTAAAGATATGATTCACTGCCACCTGGCCCTGACAGTTGTTGACTTTGCCTCCTGACTGCAGCCATCCTTCCCAGCTATGTGAAGCTACAGTTTCAGGGCCCAGCCTGGGCTGTGGGCTCATGCTCATGCCTCTGTGTGCCCTGCAGAGCCCTCATCCCATACATATCCTTTCTCCCACTAACCCTCCTCCTCCTCCCCTTCCACTCCCCCCCCCTTCCTTCTCAGAGCTTGGGTGATGTGGTTGTCATTGATGGGGTTGGGTTGAATTGGGGTATAGAAAAGTCCTTATCCACCCTCTGACGTTGACCCTTTACACTGGGACTTGGAAAGGCACTCTCCCTCACTCAGGCAATGTCACTTGAGAAAGACACCTAGTGACAATAGGGCTAACACTGACAGCACTTTGCTTTGATTAAGGCTGTGAACTAAGTCAGTATGTTTTATTTCAAAGGAAATGAACCTTTGAAATAGAAAAGGGAGGACTAGAGGTGTGGCTCAGATGGTAGAGCATCAGCACTCAGTGAAAGCTTCAGTCCTGGTCTTGAGCAAAAAGAAGCTCAGAGATAGTGCCCAGGCCCAGAGTTCAAGCTTCAGGACTGGGAAAAAGAAAAAAAAAAACCACCAAAAAAGCTTATCATGAGTTAGGTACTAGTGGTTCATGACTGTAATCCTAGCTACTCAGGAGGCTGAAACCTTGTTTGAAGCCAGCCCTGGCAGAAAAATCCATGAAGTTGTTTTTTGGCCAGTCCTGGGGCATGAACTCAGGGCCTGGACACTGTCCCTGAGCCTTTCTGTGCTCAAAGCTAGCACTCTATCACTTGAACCACAGTACCACTTCTGGCTTTTTCTATGTATGTGGTACTGAGGATTTGAACCCAGGGCTTCATGCATCCTAGGAAAGCACTCTACCACTGCACCACATTCCCAGCCTGTCCTTTAAATTTTTATCTTTAACTACCAAATATCCAGAAGTGGAGCTGTGACTCCAGTAGTAGAGAACTAGCTTTAAGAAGCTCAGGACAGTATGGTCACTGGTTGTTTACACCTATAATCCTCCCTACTCAGGAGGCTGAGATCTCCTCATGGTTCAAAGCCAGCCCAGGCAGGAAAGTATGAGACTCTTCAATTAAGCACTAGAAAAACCAGAAGTGATGCTGTGGATCAAGTGGTAGAGCACTAGCCTTGAGCACAAAAGCTCAGAGATAGCACCCAGGCCCTGTGTTCAACCCCCAAAACTGACACAAAAAACAAAAACAAAACACACACACACACACACACACACACACACACACACACACACAGCTCATGGACACTGGCCAGGCCTGGAGTTCAAGCCCCAGGACTACCAAAACAAACAAAAAACCTATCTTGGAACCTACATTCAAGAACTTCATGCAATGCTTCCTTTCCTAAGTGAGTTTCTTGGAAGAGCCTAAACATTTTATGGACTGAAATTCCGTAAGATCAACAGTGGTTTGCCCTGTTTTTGTTTTGGGGGTGTTTTTGGTTGTTATTGCTGTTGTTATTGTTTTTGATTTTTTAAACAAGCACATTTTGATTTTGAAGTTCTGTGGGAGTTTCCAGGGCCTACTTGTCCTCAATAGATGCCATCTGAGAAGACCCTTAATGGCCGCCATATTGGATTTCCTCAGGCTGGCCATGCATGATGGGCCATCTGTCCAGTCATATAACTGTTTGGTGCCCACTGGGAAGTGTTTTAAAGAGTACTCGTGGGGCCACTTGCATTGCGAAGGATGGAGGGGAGATATGAATACACATGTATGTAAAAGTGACTCATGGGCCGAATATAATACCAGCTAACAGATTCAACATGAGTATCTGAGTTTGAGATCCTAATGTCTGCCACTAACCTGTTCTGCTCACCCTGGAATCCAGAACCATCCCTAGTCACTGACCACAAAGGCCGCCTAAGGAAGGAAATGTGTGCTCTCAGGAGTTCATTTTAAGAACACAAAAATTTTATTGAGTCCCAACTCAGTGACAAAACAGAAAATGATTTGTTAGCTTGTCACTGGGAAGAGAGTTTATTATGTCTGCTGGTGGTATAAACAGTGGCCAGTTTCTGTCAACCTTTACGGAAATACCTTTTTTTTTTTTTTTTAGTTTTAAATGTGAACTGTAAACCGAAGCTACCTCAGTTAAGAATTTTTTTTTTCAATACTTAAACTGTGGGGAGAAGATGGAGGGGTGCCAGAGAAAACATTCTCATTTAATAGTGTTTGAACATGGGACTGCAACCCAGTTTGTAGCGAGGCTCTGCGAAGAAACCACAACTAATCCTTC